GTATTATTTAAAAAGACCTGGTAAAAATGGAAACTGCACACTCAGTTAAATGCTGGTTTTCCTCAGTGCATCAGAATCAGATTGATTTAATCTTTGATGAAAAGTTGATGCTTGGAAAAAACTTGAGAACAATGAGCCAGATTCTGAACTTGGCTCGATCCCAGTTCTCCAAGGGGCTGAGCATCCTCTGAGAAGCACTCAGCAGCTTAAGCTCTGCATGAGTCACTTGTACCTCTTCAGCAGTCCCCAGCAATCTGCCCCAAAGACAAATGCAGCTTTTCTGGCAGCACCCTTGGGCTTTTGTGGATTGGTACTGGTATAACTGAGCAGACTAGGACTGGAATGTGACCCATTTTGTTTCCAGCTAATGATAAGCTCCATTTCAGAAGTGATTAAAGGGCCAAACTTGTCCTTGTGCTGGGACTACTCAAAGCCCTGGGCAACCTGCAAGTCCCACTGAAGCCCTCGAAATAGTGCTTTAAAGGCACTTTAGAGGGGGTGGGCCCAGTGCAAGTATCGTCTCCCACCCCATGGGCTGCATTGCCATTTTGCCTCCAACCTAGCACAAGGGCCAAACGTGACAGTGAGGCACTCTTCCCTCCCTCCTTGGTTTGTGGAAGCTGCCCTCTGCTACTGCACGTGTCCCTGCTTAGCAGACATGCTCCCATTTTTAATCTCTTTCCTCCCACCCCAGGCAGGCTGAAAGTTTAGGAATAAAGCGTAGGGTCCCTGCCTTTCCTCAGTCAATACTTGCAGACAAAACGATGCGGGAAGGGAGTGGTAGGGAGGTACAGCTTACTTTCCCCTACACTCCTGCAGCACCCGGTGGCTCAGCTTCTCATGAGACGAAGCCACTGTTGATGCATGGTCGAATGAGCTGCAAGAGGTGCAAAAGGCAATGACAAACTTCACTGAGCTGCACAAAAGATGCCCATGACTTTGGCAAAAGCAAGATTCCTTTGAGAGGTCAAATTCTGGAGGTCTGGGCAACCGCAAGGAGGTCAGCAAGGTAGAATAAAAAGTCATGGAGATCAGAAAATCCTCATCTCATCTTTAACACATAACAACAATAATCCTTTCATCAACTTCTACTGAGGGAACACCTACAGAGCCCTTTTTCCTGCTGTACTAGGCACGGAACAAAAGTTTAAGAAACACCACCAAAATAGCTAATAAATCCTCAAAGACTCCTTATGGAAGAGCTCAGCAGTAACTATCTCCATTTGAAAAAAGGGTGCGACATGGCCCCATGCTATAGAGAAAGACAGGAGAGGATCTGGGGCTCAGCATTTCAGTGAGCACTTCTACATTCAGAGAGGATGTTGACACAGTGAGACTGTACATTCAGATAAACAGACAGAAGATTTGGGGTTAGGACTTATGTTTTGTTTTCTCTAGTTTGGAATTTACGTTTTTGCTGATTGGAGTTTTTTTTTTTTTTTCCCTTAAACGTCAAGTAGGGAAGTTCTACACAAAACCCGACAGCTCTGCAACTGGTCTTGCAAGCAAAACACTAAAACACTGTCCTGAAATTCTAGCACACTGTTCCCTCTCAAGAGTCAAAATAAGACATAGTGTTCTTCTTTACTTGCTGAAAATCAGAGTTAAAAATAATAATAATAAAAAAACCCTAAATAAGTCACACCATTATAACTCTGATAGAGTCTCTGGTGCACAGTGTCATCTTTAAAACACCCTGCTCTGTTTCCTTGGTTGTAGTTGAACAAAACACTAGTATCTATGCTCAGCCCTTCTCACCTGCTACAGCTTTCAGACCCCTCCTCCTCTTTCAGCCTTACTCTAAGGAGCTGATCATTAGCCTTCTCCCTGGGGATAGTCTATCACAAGCTATTTTTATTCTCTGTCTCTGCAATTCCCTGACTAACTTCCCATGCCAAATGCTCGCTAAAAGTCATCAACCTTCAGCAGGGCCAACAAATGAATCAAATCTGCTGCCAGGACATTTAGGAGATGAGCCAATGCAGCGTTAGGAACATTTTTTAAAAGTCCATAGCAGGGGGATATTTTAAATGCCATAGCTTTAAAAAGTCATATCCAAACTTCCCAGTATAATTCTAAATAGCAGATGAAGCTCCGGAGGAGCGTCTTCCTTTAGAGATATCAGGGCTTGTAATGGGAAACTATTTTTCCTCCACTTTATAGATCAATCCATCCCCCCATTTTCTACCTACAAGTGTAACACTATATACAAATGTATAAGGGCCCAAAGGAGAAGAATCATTTAGAATATCCTGTCTTCTGCACTTTGCTGAATGGTTTGCACCACAATTTACATTAACGAAGTGTTGGAAGTTCTATTATCACTATGTGCGCTGCCCTTAATTCTCTACAAATGCACACCCTTCCCTCTCCCTCCTACATTTTTTGCTTCCTTTCAAGCTACTGGATGGAGCTACTGTGCGCTAGTAAACTGCTGCTGCGTGCTCCCCCTGCCCTCTCTGAAGTGGATGCATAGCAAAGACAGGTGATATGATCTCTGTAAAGAAATCTCTTACCTATCTTGCTAAGGAGGCAGCGATCTGCTCTGAGCAGGGCTAGTACAGCTCATCTAATAGCTTTTCCCCATCTAGCTCTTCCACTTGTGCTGTCACTAGTGGATCTGAAGCAGAGAGAGAGAGAGAGAGATGCTGGGAGATTTTTAAACACAAGGCTGTCTTAAAGTGAGTTATGTCTTGGAGGGGTGGGCGAGAGAGAGAGAGGTGGGGGGAACTAGCAAACACCCCTTTGCTTTGAACCTGTGGGAAGGAAATGCCATCCCAGAGGACCCAAAGTGGGCTGGACACAGGGATCTGAGGATCCCAAGGAGTCAGTGAAACGTCCCAGGCAACCGGGGGCTGGTCCCAGGCAGAGGAAAGGGAGACAACTGCCCTTCTGAGGAGGCAGAAAAAGCATATAGTCTGCTGGATCTCCTTCAAGAGCTCAGGTAGGCAGGCAGGCAGGCTGCAGGATGGAGAGCCTGTGCTCTGTCCACTGTCACTTCTGACAGAAATGTGCCCTGCCAGGAAGCCTGTTTTGCTTGGGGCAAGCACTAACAGGAGCGGGAGGTGTGTCGCTCCCGCGCACTGTGTCACTTGGCAAACATCTGGCTGACACAGCTGGATCACCTCATTGAGATGTTTTATTGCAGGGCCTGACATAACATTGGCAAGCGGCACTCTCTCCACGCACACACACAGGCACCAAAAACACTCTCACGCGCAGCCCCGTTCAGCTTGCTTGCAAACGTTTTGCACGCCGCACATGCGGACGCCGTCTCCACCATCCACGCAGCCCTCCCTGCTGCAAATGCAGCTTTAGCACACAGTGTCTAGATAAACTCAAAGGCTCCAAGGTTAAGTGGGAAATAGAAATCCAGTGACCCCTGGCTGGGCAAGCGAGTTTAATGACTTGTCTCCTGCCGTATGTAACAAACCTCTGCCTGAGCTGCCTCTCCAAAGTAAAGGGCTGATGGAAGGGATCTGCCTTTAAAGACAGGGATAAGTCAGCCAGGAATCCTGCCAGAAAAGGGTTAATGGGATATATGAATTGCTACTGAGTGAAAGGGAGGGGAGAGGAGCCTGGAGTCAGAGGCAACACCCGTTGTTAGGTGTTTTCCATGTTGCATCTAAAACCCTTCTATCGCATATGCAAGGCAGATGAATTACTCTGTAAATCCTATTACTCCGTGTGGATAAATCTTACATGCAAGTTAACAAGTCTAGAGAGCTGGGGAATGGAAGCTGCTGAACGGATATTCCAGGATGAAAACAACCCAGCACACAGGCGCCGAGAAAAGCGATACACACACGCACATATATTCCTCTTCTAGCATCCTTCTTGCCTGATCCCATCTCACTAGCTTACATACCCCTCCGTTATTAAACGGCAGGGAGGCAGGACACAGAAGATCGTGTAGGAGGCCATTTGGTGACATCTAGCAGGATTTATTTCAGAGGAAGAGGAAGAAAACTTTGCTGCTGCCGTTAGCTTTGCTAGGGAATTGCTCCCTTGATGGTTCAGGGTTTGTGCGCTATCAGCTCCTCGTATAGATTACAGACTTATTTTAAATTACGTCCAGTAGTTCTATGGCCATAATATACAGTGTGCACACGCATTCACAGGCACAGATTTTTTCCTTCAGTAGGGAAGTTGCTGCAGGTAAGTTGAATAAGGCAAAAATTCAAGAAAGGAGCCCCCAGTTAAAAGGTGACTGGATTTTGGTTATTTCAGATGCTCCTAGTTGAAAGCCCGAGGAGTCTAAGGACCACTTTTTCAAAACCTGCACAGCAAATGCAGAAATGTAACACTTGACACCGCCAGTGAGTAAGGCTTCATGTGCAAAGCCACCCTCAGCACAAACACTCAGAGATGCAGGCACTGCGTACACCCATTTACTTGGCCCCGCAAAGAAACCAACTCCACAAACAATACATAAGCTTCATAGATATCAGAGCTCATACTCTATTTGTTCACAAGGCTTTCAACTTCTGTATCCGTTTCCCTTCCCTTCTGGGTATGAAAATAAATAAATTAAATTAAAAGCCAGAGTTTCCCAAAAGAACTTGCCCAAGAGTTCTAGCAGCATCAGGGATAAAGT